AAAAAGAAAGAATAACCAAGTGCACATGGAAGAGCAAAATAAAACTATACAGAAAATATAAATTATTAACCAATAGCCATGTTATGTCAACTGTTAGTTACCTTTCTTTAAGAAAAATATTTCTGAGACTCAGAAAGCCTACCAAAGAACATTGTAGAACTTGCATATGTTGAAGGGAATGCAAAAAAAGGTATTAGTTAGCCCTAAAAAAACAAACACATGGGGGACACCCATTAATAGTTATGAAAAATTATGAAGAATATAATGGGAAAAATAAAAAAGCTTCCTATTTTTCACTCTGTCCCACAATAAAAGGAATAAGGGAATATTCAAGGGTAGAATGTACTCCTGATCTGGAAGTAACTGTAAGTATTGCATTTTTTTACTCAAGAGATCCACCACTTCAGTGTACTCAAAGTCATATTTGCTTACTTTAAGAACGAACAGGATATGTTTACTGGCATGTTTGTACTGGCATGTGCCTTTCCTTTAGATTAAGCCAGTAAGGCTGAGAGGGGGATACTGGTATGTGGGGAGCTCAGTGTCTCCATATGTAGGCTAGGGACAGACATTACACATAAACTGGTTTAAACCTGTAACAGAACAAATGTTCAGTACACATAAACCAGTTTAAAAATGGTTGAAACCGGCTTGAGATAAACCTGCTTGAATGTAGTATCAGATTTAACTGATTTGGGTCAAACTGGTTTAGCAATGTCTGTCCCAGACCCCTTCTTGGTTTAAGTTAAACCAGACTCACCTAGTATCCCAGCATGCTCTCTGGGCTGGGCTTTCTGCTCCACAGCAGAGCTGGCCCCTCTCCTCTGCTCCCTGGCTGGAGCTCTGGCAGAGACTCCAGGTATCTGCCTTTCTTCCGCTGCCCTCCTCCTCCCTTCACCACTTCCTACTAAGCAGGGATTCCCCTCTTCCCCTCTGCCTTACACAGACACCTCTCATGATTAGCTAGCAGGTCACATGCTGGCTATGGTTCATGCTGTGGGAGGCTGGACAAAGGCAGACAGGGCTATATTCACTTAGGACTTTTTGGAGCTAATCAACAGGTATCTGGTAATGTCCTTCTGTTCCTTCCTTGGAAAAAGTTGTTTGAGAAGAGCTTGAACTAATGGAGAGAAGCTTTTGTTTTCTTTGTTTCCTTAATGGGCTTATAAACACTGAGTTAGGAGTGATAAACACTGTGTTATCAACTGCCTGCTAGACTGCTTAGAAAGGAGCAGGCAGGAAACCCCTCCCTAATCAGAGTGTTCTGCTGGGGCCTGACCATGTCTCCTCAACTCAGCCTATCGAAGGGAAGGGAAGGCTGCTGTAGCATGCCCTGGCTTCTGGCCTGAGCCACTGCAGGCATGTACCTGCATTTCTGAGATGTTTGTATGGTTACAAACTGGTTTAGCCTAGCCAGGTTAGACTAACCTGCAAAGATGGAATCAATTCAGGCTCAGGCTTCTTGAATGTCTGTCCCTGGCCATAGTGCCCAGGCTTTTGCACCCTGGAGAGGTCATACCATCTTCACTTTCTCTTTCATATGAGGCTTCTGTTCAGCGAGCTAATGTCTCACTTAGCATAATTCTATTATCTCACAAGACAGACAGATGCCTACTGTTACTAAACTCCTTCTTACCCTGCAGATAAGCAGAGCTAAAAAGGAGCAAGCTGAATTCTGTTCTATTTTAGGCAGTATTCAGGAAATGCCACATTACATTTGTGCAAAGTTAAAAATCAGGGATTTTACAGGCATCAATAAAACTGTAGCATAAAGACTAAGAACTGAGAGAAGTGTCAATATTCTGTAGAATTTGTCTTACTGTTCATGAGGAATAAAACAGAAATCAGCTTGTACCCCTAACACACAAACAGAATTTGTAGGGTTAACAGTTTAATCATAAAACAAACTCACATAATACAGAAATCATTGAGAGAAGTAAATGTGCAATCCGTAATGTCTTATTTGACAGTGTGAGGGGCAAGAGTTTGTTAGAGTGATATCTTTTACTGGACCAACTGCATAGTTAGGATAGAGTGAGGCAAGCTTTTGAATGCAAGATATTCTTCTTTGGGGTCACTTTTCGAGCAGAACATAATTTTATAATTAATAGGTGATACTCATACAATAAAGAAATCTCTGGAACTTTGCACCACTAAAGAGTAATGGTTGTATTTATAACATGATCGCATGATTTTGTGACTTTCAATAGCATTTATAATTATATATGGTAAGGTAATGGCAATCAGATCTTATGCCTTTTATTTTCTTTTTTTATTTTTGGTCCCACTTTGTGGCATAAGATGTTGACTCTGACCAGATGCAAAGTACTAATCTTTTCTGGTGTGATCTGGCAAAGCAAATCCTCAGGTTTTCTTAATGTGAACTATGAAATTTCCAGATTGTAATTTAATTCATCATATGTATGCAAGGTCCATGTTTTAGGGAGGAAATGTGGCTGCAAATCCTTAGCTATTAGGGAATATATTAATGCAGGGGCAGACAAAATACGGACCGTGGGCCAGATCCAGCCCATGGGGCCATTCTGTCTGGCCCACAGCATCCCTAAAAAATTTAGAAAATTAATATTTATCTGCCCCTGGCTGTTTGTCAAAAATGACAGAAGCTAGGGGCAGTAGGACCGAGGGGGAGCCAGTGGCAGAACCAAACACCTGCAGCAGTAAGTCCAGCCCCGCCCCCCCAGCCCAAGTCTCAGCTGACAGCTTCTGCCTAGCAGGGGCTTCTGGAAGTTTCTGGGTTGGGGCTGTTCCTGCCTCCCTCTGTGGAGAGAAATACAGATAAGGAGGTGGGAAGGGAGGCATTGGAGGACCATGGGCAATTGCTTCAGTCCTCAGGGCTGGCCAGGCCAGCTCCTGCAGTCCTGGTGCTGCAGCTGGGAACCACATGGTGTTGGAGGCCGACCGGCAGGTGGGCAGGGAGAGCTAGCAGGCAAATGGCTGTGGCAGGCAGGGGGTAGTGTCAGTGAGTGGGCGTGCAGAGCACAGCAACAGCCAGGCAGAAGCATGGGGCCGCCCCAGGGCCAGTGCTGCCGAGGCCCAGAGCAGGGCAGCAGGAACATGCAGCTGGGCTGCCAGGAGCTCTGTGGAGCTGAGCCGGCTCCCTCCTCTCCCTACTTGAGCAGTGCAGCCCAGTTCCACAGAGCCCCTGGTAGCCTGGACCCTGTGTTCCTGCCACCCTGCTCTGGGCCTCAATGGCACTGGCCTCGGTGCACCAATGTGGGCCTCATGCTCCTGCCCCGTTGTTGCTGTGCTCTGCACACCTGCTCACTGCCCCTTCCCCCCCACCACCCTGCTGTAGCCATTTCCCTGCTCCGCCCCTCCCCTGCCCGCCGCACTGGCACCACATGGTTCCCAACTGCAGTGCCAGGACTGCAGGAGCAGCTGGGATGTGGTGTCAGAGTGGCTGGGTGGGGCAGAGAAGCAGCAAGAGAAGGGCAGCAGTTGCACACAGGGGCAAGTGGCAGCAAGCGGGAGCACAGGGCTCGTGCCTGTGCCCCAGGGCCAGGAGTGGCAAAAGCGTAGAGCCCGGGCTTGCAGGAGCAATGGTGGGGGCTCTGCCTGCCGCGGGGTGGGGCAGGACAGGCTCTTGGCAAACCCTCCCCCTCCACCCAAGCCACAAACCTCCCCAGCCACTCTCCCTCCACACACAGCCCTTCACAAAACCCATATCCACCCACACAGCCACACCTATCCACCCCCGCACAAATCACACACACACACTCCTCCCCCACACCCCACATACTCACAAACCAATACCCACCCACCCTGCCACCCACACCCTTGTACACTATACAAGAATAAGACTTCATTTTAAGCTATTATACTATCACTTCTATTTACACAACACAAACACATGTAAATCAGGACAAAAATATTTTTTGAAATGAAATTAATGAATGTTGTAATTAATGTTTGATTTTTAGAATATAATTTGGTATTTTTGTGCTTCAGAGATGGCAGAACCCCTTGCTGAAAGTAGTAAGTTCAGGGGGCAAGGGGAAGGACCTGTGGTGGCAAAGGTCAGGAGCTAGAGGATGGGACTTCCAGTCCCAAGATGGTGACCGGGGGTGGGGCAGCTGTCAAAGGGCAGGGCTACCCATGTGGCCCTCAATGACTTGCCAAAACTCAGTAAGCAGCCCTCCGCCTGAAATAATTACCCGCCCCTGTATTAATGGGTTCCAAATTTACCCTATCTGCTAGCTCTCACGCAAAAAAGAGGCTGCCTGAGTTAAAATATTAGTTGGGGATTAATGAAGCAAAAAATAAGAGATTTTCAGAGATCCAGCAGAGGTAGATACATGTCTTCTTCAGTTGAAAAAGTATTGAAACAAGTTGCAATATGAAGGAATTATTTTAAAACCGAATTTTTAACCGTCTTGTAATGTGAAGCAGTTGTATGCGTAACTGTAAAAACCAGTAGCGTTAGAGGGAATGAAGTAGGTAGAGTTTATGAAATGAGAGGTTGCAAGATGTTTAGAATTGGTCATTAACAGGCTTTATCAGCTGTTACGTAGCAAATACCAAAGACATTTATATTGTTATGATATTTTTATGGAAATTTGGAAATCTGAGTGTGGCCTGTGTAGAGATTGAAATGAGTAAATCATACAGTAACTTGTAAATCTAGTAAGTGAAAAGAGAGATGGTTTATCAAGCTTATTTCCTAAGTCTTGGTCTCTCTTGTCTCTTCACTAATAAGATAATGGTTTACTACCAGAGGCTATTGTAAAGCCTCTCTAATTTGTGCTCATAGCTGAGAGAACCTTTTGGCATTAACAAAAGGCATTCTTGTTCTGTACTAGATGTTTTTAGTCTCATTTGAATCCAATATCACAAGGAATTTGGGTGTTTAAAAAGTGCAAATTATCATATTTTTACTTGCTTTAAAAAGATTCAGATTTGCATATGTCCTTATACTTTGGGCCTACTAAAATCACAACAAGAACTTGCTTATTTATGTTTCCCTTTTGTTCCCATTTCAGATGATCATTCTCGAGTGAGACTGCAGCCCATTGAAGGAGAAACAAACTCAGACTACATCAATGGAAATTATATTGATGTAAGTATACTGGGGTAGTCAACAAAGTTAATATTATTATTCAATTAAGAGGCAGTCTATGTTATTTTCACACTTTATTGATCATTTGTAATAGGTTCCACAGCTGAGCAGGATTTTGGCTGCTAAGCATTTTTGGAAAACACAGTCAGAGGAATGTGTGTAATAAAGGATAAAAAATACAATGCCAAAGATTTGCCAATAAGAAAATGAAAGCAGTCATTTCCCAAAAACAGCCATGTTTTGAAATGGAACCCTGTGAGTAATATTATCTGGCTACTTCGTCTTCTGATGCTTATATGGACTAAGGAAATGTTATTTTCATTTTCTGTCAACAAGTTGGCATAATTCCACATTTAAAAGAAAGCTGTTTGCATATTAATGTGACAAAACTCTGTAATTCCTAATGCAGTGATTTGCAATCTCTTGTCATCTCTGCACTTTTAAGTCGCCTTCAAAGTATAGTCTGCAGCTGTTAACCAGTGCTTCTAATGCAAGCAAGACATTTCATTAAATATGTAGGCTGTTTAATTATTGAAGACTGCTTCTTTGTTCATTCTGCATCATGTTAACTTAATGTTTTACATTAGAATAAATTCTTTAAGAGACAGCATGTTTTTTTGGTTGAAAGAATACACTCAAAAGTAAAATTCAGAATCATTAGGAAGTCAATACTATATAAAGTCTGAAATCTGGAGATGACAATTTTTTGTGATTTTAGTGTTCACAAAGAGAATTAGATGTTAGAGTCCTAAAATAACTGTTTATTAAAAAGCAACCAACCCTGAATGGATTCTTCTTCAGCAGGGATGCCTTTTCATAAAGGTGTCACATGCCTGATCTGCAAGTTAAGATACGGTTACTGGCTTTGACAAGGGAATTTAGTCAATTTTTCTTCTTTATTGATAGCAGAGCAATAGACTTGCTGAAACCAAATTAAACTACCAATTTTTTTCTTGTAAATAATCTCAAGGTTATTTGTTTATCAGGATATTTACTAATGTGTTGAGTGGGAATCAAGTTAGACTTAGATTTCTACTCTATCGCATAGTGTTTTACACATTTATCAAGAGGTAAAGAAAAAAAGCAGAAATATATCTACCTAAATGTCTAACAAAACTGTGGATAAAATGTATACCATTATATAAAGAAAAGCTTGCTTGTTTTATGGAGTTAAATTTGGATCCACATTCAAACTTTCCCAACATTGAAAGGAAAGGCCAGACTTTAAAGTCTGGTTTTAATCTGAATTATACCTCAGGACTATGATTTTGATCTAGGTTTGAAGTTCCACAAAATATGCAGAAGGAAAACTTTGATCGTAAAAACCTATTTATAATTGTTTCAGACCACTCTTTCCTATTCTTAGAAAAAACAGGAGAGTAGGATTAGATGCCATCGTACTTAAAGGCAGAAATGACTTTAGGCTGTAATTCATCACAGAAAGTGCAAAGCATGAAAGTGATGAAATGTCAACCAGGTGGTAGGAGCTAAGAAGCCAATAGGCAACAACAGTGTTTGTCTATTCGTAAGAGTGTTGGATAGTGAGGATTCCACTGCAGTTTCTCCATTCCAGATGCTGCAATACCTGTCTCACATAGGTAGATTACAACAGTTGCCATGTTGTCAATAGAGCTGAGTTACAGCAAAAGACACACCTTTAAGGCTAGGGACAGAAATTAAACATAAACTGGTATAAGTGATTGAAAACCAGTTCAAATCTGTAACACAACAGAAGCTCAATGTACATAAACTGTTTTCAAAATGTCCAAAATTGTTTTAAGATAAACCTGGATGGATGGATGTAGTATTAAGGCTTAACTGATTTAAGTAAAATCAGTTTATTGAACTTCTGCCCCAGATTACCTCCAGATTGAAGTTAACTCACAGTCTCCCAGCATCCCAGGATGCTTTGCACCTTCCCCAAAAGGTGCAGGGGCCTTAGTCCAAGCTCTCTGCAGAGAGGCATGCTCTAGCACCACCAAGCTTCTGGCCTGGGCCACTGCAGGTGTGTGGCTGCATTTCTGGAATCAAAAGTGTTCACTTCCTTATCGTTCAATCTATGCAGTTTAGACGAACCTGCAAAGATTGAATGAATTCAGCCTCAGGCTTTTTGACTGTCTGTACTTAGCCTAATGGTGTAGGCATAAGCAAAACTTGTTTAGTAAGACTTTCCCTTGACATAAATCTCTCAGTTTCTGGTTTGATAGGATGAATGGATCCAACTCCACAGATAGTAAATGGTACATGGACAGAATAATACAACTCTGTCCAGGGCTGCTCAGATACATTTCAGTTCAGGGGTATTCAAAGTTTTCCTGGCTGGCACATAAAGGAACTGCTTCAGTAGTTCTTGTAACTTTTTTGTGTAATAATCCTTTGACCCCTTTGAAGAAGCCGCAAGAGTTCTTCAAGTTACTTCAGCCATTTTTATCATATTTTACGCCCATCCTCCTAATTCTCTTTGTGCTTACAAGTGAATGTTGAATGTAAGCTGTAACTTCTTCCTTTTTTGGTGTCGTAACCTAACCATTATTTAGAGCTTTTTAGTATTAATATTTTTATAACTGTTCATACTGGTGCACACATTAAATCACTGGCAATATTCCCATAATATCAGAAACAGAAATATTAACACAAATTATATTGTTCCCAGTTTGCATCCCAGTAAGAGCCAACAGTCTTTCTCAACCTATGGGTTGTGACTCAAAAGTGGGTCGCAAGAATATTTCAGAGGTTCACAAGCTACAGCAGGGCAGAGGGTCAGTAGGAAGGCACCTGCCCCTTCCAGCAGTGGAAGAGGGCAGGGGAGAAAGCTGCGTGGCCAGTCTGGCAGCACTGGGGCCAGTGCCCATGCTCACGGGGGTAGGCTGGCTGGCAGATGCTGTTCTGGGGGTGGGAGGGGCCAGGGGGCTGTGGGTTGGGACAGGCCATGGATCTTTGCAAATGGATCCCAGTAGGAAAAAGGTTGTGAACCACTGCTGTAAAGAATCCATAAATTGTTAGTGTCTATAATTCACCCAACCTGAGATTCATTTACTTTTGTCTTTGCAGAGAGAAACATAAAATTATTTTTGTGTTCTTTCTATTCAGATACAAACTAGTCACATGAAACCATTTTTTCAGAGAATTTATCGCCCATGTCCTCCTTCTCTCTCCCCTCCCCCGCTTTGTTGTTGTTGTTGTTGTTGTTGTTTGCTTTTTAGAAATTATTTGCAAACAGATCATAGAGAGTACCCAAGCTAAAAGTCAATCTAGCTGTCAGCCAGGGGACTGTCATCGCATTAAGTAGCATTTCACAACCGAAGTATTGGTGTTCCAGGCTTGCAAAAGGACGTGCTATTATTAGCTGCAAGTGCTACTGGGAAGTTCATACTAGTACTTTTCAAGCCAACCAGGAAGAAGGCAGTCCCTAAACAAACTGATAGTTTAGGGACCCTTACATTTGCCCTTTCACAGAGCAAATTTGTTGTAGGTTGGAGAGAACAGAATTTTGTTATTAATATGTAATTTTTATTGTCATTGTATTCAGTAAGTTAGCCTGTGGTCCTAGACAGATGTGATATATGAAGTGCTCCAAGTATCCAGAAATGTTTCACAGAGTGAACGTGGCCAAAGACGTGCTTCAAAAATGACCCTCAAAAACAGGGGAACATCTTTTCAGCACTTCCTTTTGACTTGCTTCCTGACACATTTGTACAGGCCAGCAGTCCTCTGGCATGTCTAAGTCCTCTTCTCCCTCCAAACCTTACAGTGGAGAGCCAGTGACCACTCTTGCGTGCACTCGGCTGTCCTTGTGAACCTCTGGAGGCCTGAGACATACGCTATTTTAAAGTGTTTGTGGCGGGAGGGGTTGGGGTGCACATCTGCACAGTGCCAAATCTGAAGTGCTCTGGGATTCAGAGCACTTAAAATGCATGTCTGTCTGTAGCCTTTGTGAAGTTGTATTCATACAAGCACACCCATCATGCAGAGTCTGCAGATTAGTTCACAACTTTTCTCTATTTATTTTAGGGTTATCATAGGCCAAATCACTACATTGCTACGCAAGGTAGGTTTGCCTCTTTTTATATTTCTTATTGGTTAAGTGCACTGTAAGAGATTGTATGCAGAGCTATAAAAATGTGTAGGTTTGGTTTGCACTCTTCAATACTTGTTTTTCAACAACACAGAATGAGCTCAAGAACTTGTTACATCAAGCAGCTTAATATAGATTCTCCAGCTTCCAAGTGCTTAATGTAGGGTTTCCTTTACCTTTGCATCCAGCAGTTCTGTATATAAAACTCAAAGAATATTTAATCCCAGTAACCTTACCCACAAAGGCACGAATGATTAATGAAAAAAATCCTATTCAGGGATTTCTCTTAGGTGTCTCTGTCACTTAGGCACTTTTTGAAAATTTTAGCTGACAAGTTTTAATGTAGGACGTGAAGATGTACTAGTTTTGCAACAATGTGGAAAACAGATTTGATTCCTGAAAGAGACAGGAGAGACTTTTTTTAGCCTTCCTTCAAATGTTTGCTTATGAACAGATAGATATCTATTCCTTTCATTAATGCACAAAAGAGTTTTTCAAATTTTAACTCTTATCAAAGATGTAACTTGCCCATTTTGACACAGTTCTTATTTAACTTTTGGCCAAGATCATAGCTGGAACAGATGAGAAAGTTGTCTGCTATGGGTTTTCAATCATAATATGAAATTATTTGAAAGTCTCTTCTGCTGCATTTGCTCAGAAAAGGGTATTGGATAGAATACATGTGAAAACTTGATTGCCCTTCCACTGCTGGGAGGGATATTTCTCTATAATAGGTATTCTATAATAGAGCTTCCTGAATTTGTCAGTGGATTTGCAAAAGGTGTGAGCTGCACCTGGGTAATGAATTTATTTCAGTATGTGCATAGTCTTCTAAGAGCACCTGTTAGGAAATACAGTTTCATTTCTCATTTATTGGTTAGCGAAACAAGGTGTGCATTCTGAGGACATACCATTAAGACAAACTGAGCTGGTCATCTTAAATAAGGGCACTTTCATTACCACTGCCACTTGAACAGCCTAAACTTTGCAGACCACAGCCCCTGATTTTACCAGAGGCTATTTAAACCTTCCCTCTGTAATGTAGTTGTCATTAGTCCCAGATGATCTGCTGCTTCATTGCAGCCTCCATTGTCTGATGTCAGTGGGGCAGGACCGTGGTTTAACTTGCTTAATCTACCACCAATGTCACCTACCCTCAGCGACCCACATCCTCCAACCTCTCTACTAATCAACTCAGAAACAGAAACCAGGATATTCTCTGAAGATTTCCTTTTCTTGTTTTTTTGTTTTGTTTTGTTTGTTTAACATGGCTTTCTCACTAAGCAACTTTAATAGTTCCATTTGTCCTTTGATTTACGGTGCTATTGATTTTATTGGTACGTGAAAAACTGAAAACAGCTGCATTGTCATTTTGTTTACAGTCCAGATTATAGTTAATCAGAGGCCCTTTCCAGGAACTGAGCTCCGTGTTGTACAGGTTAATCCAGTCTATTAAAAACTATTCTGATAATGAGAAATTCTCTAAAGCCAATTTAAATACGATTTCTTGGCACTTAAACAACAAATACTGAGTTTTTGATAACTTTACTCCCAAGATGTCTAAAGCCAACCTAGATAAAAGAATTTTTAAAAAGTGACAGGTGCATTAGTGAAATTTAGAGTAATTTGAATATTAGCTACTATGGTTCCAACCAATATGGCAGCAAAGAGAAACAGCAAGATGGTGAGGAGAATAAAGAAGCTGAATGCAAGTTTTCTTGGAAAATTTAAAAAGAAGTGACTGTTCAGATTTCAAGCTTTTCGAATGCCACCTTTTTGTTCTGTAATTATGCTGTGCCCCACATGATGGGCTTCTGTTTAATGCATGGCACTCTTAGGTGCCTCTGCAGTTCAAATAATCATGATGATAATAGCAGTATGAAAAGATCTATCAAGAAAGAGAATTAACAAGAAAATGGACAAGCAACATGATACAAATTCAGATTGTGTTTGGATTTAGGTCTCAGAATGTTTAGAGATGAGATTTTCAAAATGACTTTCTCAGGAATTTAGGCATATGCTTAGTTTCATCTTAGAAGAAGTGATGAGTACTAGTCTTTGCAGACCTATTTCTTGATCCTGGCTCTACTGCTTGCCTTTTGGGTGACTTCAGGCAAGTTCTTTCTCATCCCTGTTTCCCACTTGTAAAACGGGTGATGACACTAAGCTTTTCTTGTCAAGCACTTTGAGAACTAGTGCTAGAAGTGCCTTATAAGAGCTGAAAGATCTTGCTGTCCAGCCTCCTTATTTCCAGCCAAGACCCTAGATACAGTGTGATATCCCTTCCTGAAAGATTCAACCAAAGTTATGGTCTCTATTTTTAACAGTGCTGGCAAAGCATCCTGAAACTGAGCACTTCTTCTGGATTGATACATAGCCCTTACAAACATAATATAAAAGAAAAAGGAAAAAAATGGTTCTCTGCCTGTTTGTCAGTTTTAGTTGTAAACCTGTCACTGAACATACCCAAAATTGCTCATATTCCTTTTAAGACAGTTCCTCATAGAAACATGTAAGCACATCTATGTGACACATTTTGAGCTACATGTGTAATTCCCCTAAGATATCTCAATCTTCTGAATCCTGTCCCCTCAACACACACACATGCACATATTATTCTTTGCAAGGAAATATCATTAGGCAAGTCATTTTTAGGTCTCTATGGAGTTAGCATGATTGATATTTAATTGTCCTAGTGTTCTTCCTCAGCTGCATTCAACATATCAAGTGTTAATGAGCAAATATAATTGTATGCATCTAAAAAGTGGCAAATTTAATCAGTTTGTAATAGACTACCAATCTGGTTTTAACAGAGCTGGGAGTTGCATAATCACCTGTTTATTAGAGTTTTACTGTCTTCCATAATAACCAGAGTTTGCTTTGCAGACCCATATCTTGAAGCATATATACCAGTGCTGCTATTCAGCTACTATTGGGCGGGGAGCGGGGCGGGAATGGTTTTAAGAGAAACAGCAAATAGGATGTGTTTGTATCTAATAATCAATGGAACTATTTTTTTTTACTGCATTATAAGTGTAACAAATTCAAAACCTGCAGTTTGGATTAGGAAAAATTAGCATCTCTTTTCTTCTATGCTGTAAATTTAATGGGACTGATAATATGAACTTGCTGTTAATGAAGACTTTTGGTGATTTGCTGTAATTGGCACTGGCAGATAGAATATGCACCTGAGCCTCCTTGATAATAAAGAACCCTTTGTCATAAGTCAGTGCAGCAGGTCAGACAGAACTAACAAGCAGGTGCAATTTAAAAAACATCACTTGCTGCTTTTTCTCCCTTTCTTACATGGTTATAACTCTTTAAACAATTTTTCACTGCAGGATACTGAGTGGATATGAACTATCCAATTTACTGTCAGCAAGTTTTGTTTCCAGGAATTAGGTAGTCAGTGAATTTCAGCAAGTCCTTTTATTAAGAGACATTAATGTCTGTGCTTTACTTGATCTCCCCGTATTGGTCGATTTTATTGTCTCCAGTTGACATTGACCTATTCTTCTTCTCATATGTTAAATGACTATTTGACCATGATTAGAAAGTAAAAAAAAATGTATATTTATTTCTTATATTTTTATATTTAATTATTTTCCCCTGACTATTTTTAAAATATAAAGCTCAGTGATTACAAAAATATTGTGAAGTCAAGTGATCTTTTTGCATTAAATCAGCCCAAAGTAGCACCTCAAGTCATTATGTTTTTCTTTTGCTTTTATACATCTAATTTTAACACAGACAAACCATTTCATAGATTTTCATAAACATTAGGGCTGGAAGGGACCTCAAAAGATCATCGAGTCCAGCCCCCTGCCCAAAGGGTAGGAAGTCAGCTGGGGTCATAGGATCCCAGCAAGATAAGCATCCAATTTGCTCTTGAAGGTGTTCAGTGTAGGTGCTTGAACCACCTCCGATGGCAGGCTGTTCCAGACCTTGG